TGTTTACCAAGGAAAAAGATGGTAGAAAATGTACCCATTACATGAGTTGTTTGAATCTCTAAATTTGACTTCAGTTTCTAAGCTGAAAAACCTGTGTAAATAAAACTAAAATTATTTCAGGTTTCTGTATGCAATATTTTTTCCCTTTATTTTTCTTTTGCTCATCATTGGCACTCCAGTTTGGGTCAAGCCTGTTAGTAAAACACCAGGTGTGGAGACACAAAAGACTTCCTGAATGAGCCCCTCGGTTCATCAACACTCAACCCCTAAGTGGAAATCACTCATCCTTTGGGGAAGTAAAACATTTTTGATATTTGGTCTTCTTTTTGAAAGACCATAGTCCCATGGAATATTAGACTGTATTCACCTTGATGGTCCCATATTTCCAATTGTCTATTATAAATATTCTAACTTGTTGCCTTGTCATTATTTTAGATTCAACCTACCTAAAACCAACTTTATCATTTCATTTTTTCTGTCCCTCACCAAATTTATTCTTTTTTTTTTTGAGACGGAGTTTCGCTCTTGTTTCCCAGGCTAGAGTGCAATGGCGCGATCTCGGCTCACTGCAACCTCTGCCTCCTGGATTCAGGCAATTCTCCTGCCTCAGCCTCCCGAGTAGCTGGGATTACAGGCACGCGCCACCATACCCAGCTAATTTTTTGTATCTTTAGTAGAGACGGGGTTTCACCATGTTGACCAGGATGGTCTCGATCTCCTGACCTCGCGATCCACCCGCCTTGGCCTCCCAAAGTGCTGGGATTACAGGCTTGAGCCACCGTGCCCGGCCTCATTTTTGTTTTGTTTTGTTTTTGAGATGGAAATTTCGCTGTTGTTGCCCAGGCTGGAGTGCAATGGCGTGATCTCGGCTCACTGCAACCTCCGCCTCCTGGGTTCAAGCGAATCTCCTGCCTCAGCCTCCTGAGTAGCTGGGATTACAGGTGGCTGCCACCATGCTCAGCTAATTTTGTATTTTTTTTTAGTTGAAAGAAGGTTTCACTACGTTGGCCAGGCTGGCCTCAAACTCCTGACCTTCGGTGATCCACCTGCCTTGGCCTCCCAAAGTGCTGGGATTACAGGTGTGACCCACCGTGCCCGGTCAATTTATTCATTTGTTGGGGGAAAAATTGTATGTGTTATTTGTACTAGGAACAGGGCTAGGTGCCAGGACTAGAGGTGAATAGGGCAGATATCATCCCATCCCTTATAGAGTTTACATTCTAATTAGTAAGATCAGACATTAAACATTCATTACCTTAATGATTGTATACTTACAATTGAGGTAAATGTGGTAGAAGAGATGTACATGTGTAATGAATGTGTTTACATGAGAAGATGTGACCTAACCTGGAGACACAGGAAAATTACATTGAGGAAGTAGTGTCTGAGCTGTACCCTACAATCATTAGACATTTTCTCATGGGGTACTATGGAGTGTGTTCAGGGAAACAGCTTGAGGAAAGGATCCGAATTGTGATAAAACATGACATGTGAAAAAAATTGAAAAAAGCTGGGGTGGCTGAAACAGAATGAGGAGAGAGTGACAAAATTTAGTTGGGGATATAGGCAAGGCTTAGAGCATAAAGGACTTTGAGCCATCTGAGAGATTTTGGATATTATCCTAAAGCAACAGAAGGCCATTGAATGATTTGAACCAGGAGAATGATATACCATCAAATTTAACTTAAAAAGAATGAAATAAAATAATTCTGGGTTCTATGAGCAGAATGGAAACAGACTCTGGCAGTTAAAATTTTTGTTGATCTAGCCACTTTCCCTTTCCCCCCAGTGCCGGTGACAGAACCCCTCTGCTTGTGGGGAGCCCTTTCCATAGGACTTGGTGGAATTGACTCTTCCTCATTGCCCAGCACAGGACTGGGCATATAACCCATTTCTAACCAATCACAGTTCCCTATCCTCCTGGCCTTAGCGTTTGGTTCAGGATTGGGCACGTGATCCTGGTTAGATTAACCAATGGTCCCTCTAACTTTTCTCAAACTCTCAGGGAAAAGGTAATCCTTGTTCCTCTGGATTGCTACCTGTAAGGACCAGGTCAGATCAGCAAGAAAAGATCAACAATCTTTTCCATCATTTGCAGAGAGCCATCTGAGAATAAAATCATCAAAGAGGGAAGTACAAATAAGAGTTAAAAATAGGCAAGGCTCAGTGGCTCACACTGTAATCCCGGCACTTTGGGAGGCTGAGGCAGGTGGGTCACTTCAGTCCAGGGGTTTGAGACCAGCCTGGGCAACATGGCAAACCCTTGTATCTACCAAAAAAAAAAAAAAAAAAAATTAGCCGGGCAGGGTGGCACATGCGTGTAGTCCCAGCTACTCAGGAGTCTAAGGTGGGAGGATTGTTTGAGCCCAGGAGGTGGAGGTTGTAGTGAGCTGAGATTACGTCACTGCATTCCAGACTAGGGACCCTGTCTCTAAGATGAAATAAAATGAAAAATTGAGTTCTGAATAAGTTAGGTAAATCCATAGATCTAATCATGGCTAGTTCACATCTTCTTGATTATATAAATATATTTCCTTATCTTAAAAACATTAATCTAGTTTGAATAGAATTTCTGTCATTTGCAACCAAAAGTCCAGATCAGTGCTGAGGGTAAGAGTAGATGCCAGGGGAGCAATTTGGTAGGTTATTAGAGTGGTATAGGTGAGAGACGATGGCTTGAACTAGTGTGGTTATGATGGAAATGGAGAGAGGCCAACACATTTAAAATCTATTTAGGAGATACAAATCAGCAGGTGTGGGAAATTGGGTAATTGATCAGATTTGGGAGTGAAGGGGAATGAGAGTAATGGAGTCAAAAACATTTGCTAGTTTTCTGGATTGCACATATAAGCATGCTGCTCACTGGAACAGAAAACACCCAAGAAAGTGTAGTTTTGGGGATGGTAAGGAAGGGAGATCTTATCGTTATTTTTTTTTTTTGCCCAGGCTGGCCTGCAATGGCATGATCTCAGCTCACTGTAACGTCTACCTCCCAGGTTCAAGCAATTTTCCCTGTGTCAGCCTTCTGAGTAGGTGGGATTACAGGTGCCCACTACCATGCCCAGATACTTTTTGTATTTTTAGTAGAGATGGGGTTTTGCCATGTTGGTCACGCTGGTCTCGAACTCCTGACCTCTGGTGATCTGCCTGCCTCGGCCTCCCAAAGTGCTGGGATTACAGGCATAAGCCACAACGCCTGGCTGTTAAATTTATTCCTAAGTATTTTGACATAATTGTAAATGGAATTGTTTTAAAATTTCGTTATAACTGATTATTCATATTACATAGAAATTCATTGGTTTTTGTATATTAATCTTGTATCCTGTAAAATTTTTCTATTTGCTAATTAGATTCCAAGTATTTTAATGTATTACTTAGGATTTTCTATATACAAGATTATATTATCTGCAAATAGAGATTGTTATTCTTACCAATCTAGACAGTCTTTATTTACTTTTCCTGACTAATTGTGCTTGTTAAAACCTCAGTGTAATGTTGAATAAAAGTGAAAGAGCAGAAATCCTTTTCTTCTTCATTGTTCATAATTTTAGGGCTAGCGTTTCTAAACTTTCAGCATTAAATATGATATTAGCTGTGAGTTTTCCATTGATTTTCTTTATCATGTTAAGGAAATTCCCCCAACTTAGTCCTGGTTTGTTGCCTCCCTCCCTCCCTCCCTCCCTCCCTCCCTCCCTCCCTCCCTCCTTTCCTTTCCTTCATTTGATTTTAACATGAAAGGATTTGGAAGTGGAAGTAGACATGGGATATTTGGGGGCTCTCTAACAGTCTCTAATACTAACTCTTATTTTAGACAAAACTGTATTTAAACAGTTCATTGATGAATAGGCTATTTTCAATCTTTTCTTATTGCAGATAATGTTGCAGTATGCATTCTTATACACATTTTAGGTATCCGAGAAGCTAAAGGATGATCACATACACTTTCTCTTAATATGTTCTCTTGACAATGAGAACAACTCAGAATTAGTGACCAAAATATATCAATTCTTTAGTAAGTTAATAAAAAATGCTTTATGATTCTATTCTTTCATCTTAAATGGCATCTGTCATTTGTAATTCAAATAACATAAACTTTTTTCTTCCAAACAACCTATTTATCCCAATCGAGATTTTTTTCCCAATCCTTTTGACAGAGATAATATAAAAAAAGATCTTTTTTTCTCCTTCATTCAGGTCCAAGTATTTATTATAAGAATCATCAGTGTTTAAAAATAATTTGGGTTTACAGTGCTGATGTTGATGCTGTGGAGCAGAGATAATATGACAGACACACCCTGGGGTGACTGTATCTTTAGAATTATTGCTTATTCTCACTATGACACTATGGTGGGGCTATGGAGTCATATTTCTACCAAGATACTCCACTTGGCTAAAACAGGAATGGTCATCAAACTCAAGGGGAACCAGGCCATTGACTGGGCTGAAGAACTTAGTCCCTTTCCTCAATAATTTACACCCAATGGCAGAGAAGTATGGTTGATAGTGTAAGAAACTGGAAATTCAAAGTCATGTAGAACTGGAATTAAGACAGAGACTCGTGCAGGCTTCTCTTGTGGGCAAATGTAACTAAATAATTTGGCAAAGGAAGTCAGTCTTCAGAGAGAAAAATGTGGCAGTGGTGCAGAAAAAACCAGAGATGAGCATCAGTGAGAGTCCAGAGAGGAAAACAGAGGAGGAGGAGCTTCAGAGCTTGTTTATCCAGCTCTAAGCCTCATGTGCAAGCAGGACGTAATTCCTTTCTACGGATGTATGCATTATTCAGTACACTTGAGAATTACGTTTGGTTCGGTTTTAAAAAATGAACTTTTAATTTTGAAATAATTTTAGCTTTGCAGAAAAGTTGCAAAAATAGTACAGAGAATTCCTGTATATTTCTCATCTAATTTTTCCATTGTTAACATACATTTCCATGGGATTTTTGTCAAAACTAAGAAACCAACATCATTCCATTATTATTATATTATTATTATTTTAAAATCAGCCCAGCAGAAACAGGCCTCAAAAAAATTGGACTAAGACTCAGAATTTTCCCTCTCCACGGAAATCTTTAGTAAAAGGCAAAAGATTTATATGTTGATGAGAAACCAGAGTATATCATTCCATTATTATTAATACAATGGCAGCCTTTCTTTGGATTTCACCAGTGTTCCTATTAATGTCTTCCTTCCGTTTCAGGAGCCAATCCAGACACCATATGCAGCTGCTCTGTCGCCTTAATCTCTTCTAGTCAGTGATGATCTCTCAGACTTTTCTTGTTTTACATGACCTTGACAGTATTTTGTAGAATATCCCCAATCCAGGTTTGTCTACAGTTTCTCTCATGATTAGATGTGGGTTGTAAGTTACGGAAAAGAACTCCATAGAAGCCAAGTACCCTCCTCATTACATCACAGCACATCAGAGGTACCAGATAGCCACATGACATCACTGGTGAGGTTAAGTTTCATCCCTTGGATTAAGTGGTATTTGTCAGATTTTTCTAATTCAGTGTTACTATTTTTCTCTTTTCCTGCTCTATTCTCTGGAAGCGAGTCATGATTTCAATGTATTATTCATGGTTCTCCAGAGAAACCAAACCAATCGATTTGTATATATATACAAAACATATATATATATATCTGTATATACACATACATTATATATACACATGTACATACACACACATAAATATATATATACATACACATATATGTATATGTACTTATGTGTATGCATATCTATGTAAAAGAGATTTATTATATGTAATTGGCTCACATAATTTTGGAGGCTGATGAGTCCCAATATCTGCAGAGTGAGTTATCAAGCAGGAGACCTGGAGAGCCCATGGTATAGTTCCAGTCTGAAGGCTGGTAGGCTCAAGACCCAGGAAGAGCCAACATTTTATTTTGAGTCTGAAGACAGGAAAAAACCAAAGTCCCAGCTCAAAGGCAGTCAGGCAGGAGGAGTTCTACCTTATTCAAGGGAGGATCAGCCTTTTAGTTCTATTTAGGCCCTCAGCTGATTGAATGAGGCCCACCCACATTAGGGAAAACAATCTGCTTTCCTCAGTCAACTGATTTATTGTTAATATCATCCAAAAACATTTCACAGAAACACCCAAAATAATATTTGAGCAAATATCTGGGCACCCAGTGGCCCAGTAGACACATAAAATTACTCATCACACACAACGTCAAAGTAGGGGCAGGCGGATTAAGCTCTACCTCTCGAAGAAGGAAGTATCTCTAGATATTATGTGGAATTCTTCTGTAAGAAAAATTTGTCTCTTTCCCTCACCAAGTAGGTTTTTATCCCTTGCACCCACTCATATATGCCTTAAAATATAAGGCCTAAATGTGTTCAAAGGATAAATAACCCTGCAGTATGGTTTTTCATTTTAAATTTAGGTAGTATACATATTTTCTGTTGCGAGCCTTTCCTCATATCCTATAAAATTTAATGTCTCTTCTGGTTGACTCGTGGTGAATCACTCTCCCTCTACGGTATTTTGGTTTTCCCCAGTTCATCAGATACTTTCTGAGTGCCTGCAGTGCACAGGGCTGATGCTCAGCCTAGACTCTGACGTTAAAAGGAAGTCCCTGCAGTCACAGCGTTTACCACCTGGTGGGGCAATCAAAGATGTAGTTAGGAGATGTGGGTTGAGTCGCAATTCACCACTTTCTCTGATCTTAGGCAGGTTAGTTTAAAACTCCTTTGAGCCTCAGCTTCCTCACTTGCCAGAAGAGTATGATAACCGTAATAATAATAATAACGATAGTTTAACAGTAATAGTAACTCAGTAAAATACTGTTTGTAGTTTTTAAATTGTTACACAAATGCTAGCTATTGTTCTCAATAACAATTTTTTGAGATTGATAAGAATAGATATGTCATCCAGGCTGGAGTGCAGTGGTGCGATCTGAGCTCACTGCAACCTCAGCCTCCTGGGTTCCAGCGACTCTGCTTCCTCAGCCTCCTGAGTAGCTGGGATCACAGGTGTTCACCACCATACCCAGCTAATGTTTGTAGTTTTAGCAGAGACAGGGTTTCACCACATTGGCCAGACTGTTCTTGAACTCCTGACCTAAGACAATCCAGCCACCTAGCCCTCTCAAAGTGCTGGGATCACAGGCGTGAGCCACTGTGCCCAGCCAGATATTCTTATCTCTAAGGTTTATAGCTTCAGAAACCAAAGTCCAAAACGATTAAGTTCCTGGCACAGAATCATGCCAGCAGTTACATGGCAGGGCATATGATCTTTGCATTTTCTTATTTCCATACCACTGCACTGCAAGAATCTTATGCACTCCTGTTTATAAGAGGAGACTGTCTATTAAAAAAATATTCTGGGACACATCTAAAAAGCCATACTATGAGATAGGAAAAAAGATAAAAGCTCTGTTTTGCATTTGTCCTGGAAGCTGGGAGAGAACATGTTTTTTGGATATGTTTGGAAATGTACCATAGGTTTTGATTATCCTTGCTCTCCAGGTTTTTTTTTGGAACCCTTGAGAGACTATTTTTGGGGTTCAGGAAAGCATAATGTCATTTTATTTTTCAAATCCTCAGGGTGCTAGAAGTTTTAAGTCTTATTTTTTAGTCTGACCTTTCATTGTAGCTATTATTTTTTGATATATAATATTCATAATTCATTTTGTTGAAGAGGAGATTTTATTTAATGTCAATAAATATGTATGAATGTTGGGAGGAATGTACCTGTGTGGTGAGGGCTGGCGAGAATTACAGGGGCCAGTAGAGTTAAACAGAATGTGGGGATAACGTCATTGACATCCTCGGTGTAAACCTCATGATTGAGAAAAGATGGGGATCATCTGCTGAAATTCATCATGAAAAGATTCTCAAAAGCATATTCGAAACAGATGACAAAATTATAAGGACTCAGTTTATTTTATTTGGAAAATAGTATTCCCTTGTGGGAGATCTGGGCCAACAGACTTCAGAGTTTTGGCTCTGTTCAAAATTCCCTGACTCACTGGGTGGCTTGGAACAATGACTTAAATCCGCTATCTTGCAAGATACAATAATGATAATTTGTAACATTGTACTTGGCACTTGGGTGTAATTATATTAATGGCTAGTATGTATGTACGATTACTACGTGTCAAACCATATGACCAGCACTTTACAAGCTGTAACTCTGCATCCTCTAGGAAGCATGTACCATTCTTGTTCTTATTTCACACATAAGAAAATTGTAGGACCGGGTGCAGTGGCTCATGCCTGTAATTCCAGCACTTTGGGAGGGTGGCTCACACCTGTAATACCAGCACTTTGGGAGGCTGAGGCAGACAGATCACATGAGGTCAGGAGTTCAAGACTAGCCTGGCCAACATGGTGAAACCCCATCTCTACTAAAAATGTAAAAATAGCTGGGCTTGGGCATGTTCCTGCAATTCCAGCTTCTAAGGAGGCTGAGGCAGAATTATTTGAACCCGGAAGGCAAAGGTTGCAGTAAGCTGAGATTGTGCCACTGCACTCCAGCCTGGGTGACAGATTAAGACTCTGTCTCAAAAACAAAGTCAAAAAAGAAAGAAAGAAAATTGTAGTAGGAATTTTTCAGTGTATTGTAACCATCTATTTGCATGTTGGTCTTTTCCTCTGGGCCTGAATTGTGAGAGTAGGGACTGAATCATCATAGAATCTGCATAGACTGGTTCGTAGCTATACCAGATCAATAAATCTGATCTAATCTATACTTTAGAAAATCACCATGTGTAGGATGAAAGTGTGGAGAGATGAGGCGAGGAAAGAGCTGAGACTATTTCAATTGTTTAGGCAAAATCAAATATAAATTTATATTTGGATAAAAAAGTAAAAAAGGGGAACATGAAAAGATAAATAGCAATATAAGATTTTAACTAAAAGCAACAATGTAAGCTATCTCTAATAGAGCTATTAATATTTAGAATTATGTTGATGAGATAAAGAACATGCATATTTTCTTTTAAAAATACCTTCAAGAATATCATAACACATATGTTGTGTTAGCTTTTTATTATTCTTCACACTCAGTTTGATCTCTGTCCTATGACTGAGCTTGAGAAGTCCCACACTTCTTTGTTGAGAAGTCCCCCAATAAATAAAAATTTCATTGAGTATTAGAGCTTTAAGCAGTGATGCATCACTAATCAATAACAGAACTCTTCCTCAATAAGCCTGGAATTGGCCTGGGAATCCTCCTCAACTCAGTACTCCTGGTTCCCACAAAGGACACATAAGAAGAGGCGCACAAGTTGAGGACTATTATTCCAGGGTTACTGCGTGGGACTTCTCAAGCTTCGATGCAGGAGAGAGATTGCACTCAATGTGAAGAATAACAAAAGGGTTGACATAGTATATGTGTTATGATATTCTTGAAGGTATTTTTTAAAAAATGTATTTTATTAGAAATGCACTTTATTTTTGGAGACAGGGTCTTGTTTGGTTACCCAGGCTGCAGTGCAGTGGCACAATCATTGTTCAGGGAAGCCTTGACTTCCTGGGTCTGAGCGATCCTCCCACCTCAGTCTACTGAATAGCTGGGACTACAGCTGAGTGTCCCCATGTTTGGCTAATTTTTGTATTTTGTGTAGAAACAAGGTCTTGTCATGTTGCCCATGCTGGTTTGGAGTTCCAGGCTCAAGTGATCCTCTCAAAGTGCTGGGATTACAGACTTGAGCCACCGTGCCCAGCTGGCAATGCACTTTAAAAATGCACTTCTGGGCTGGGCACGGTGGCTCATGCCTGTAATCCCAGCACTTTGGGAGACTGAGGTGGGCGGATCGCAGTATCAAGAGATTGAGACCATCCTGGCCAACAGGGTGAAACCCCATCTCTTACTAAAAGTACAAAAAATTAGCTGGGCCTGGTGGCACACGCTTATAGTCCCAGCTACTTAGGAGGCTGAGGCAGGAAAATCGATTGAATAATTGAGGCTGAGGTGGAGATTGCAGTGAGCCAAGATCGTGCCACCACACTCCAGCCTGACAACAGAGGGAGACTCCGTCAAGAAAATGAAAAAATCAAAAAACAAACAAAACCCACATATCATTTTTCTCTGGCTGTTTTCAAGATATTTTCTTTTGTTTTTAGTTTTCAGTAGTTTGATTATGAT